CCCCAGCTCAACCCCAAGGCCCCCACCTGATTCTCAGAGGCTCCAGTCTCCAGAGGGAGCGGGCGTGGGTGCACACAGCTCCACCCTCATAATGGACAAGTCTGGGGACACAGGAAAGAGTGAGGTCAGGGGTTCAGGTTCCAGTCCCCCAGAATCTGACCCCTAATCCCACCTAGGGCCCCAGCCCCTCAACGGACCTTTGCACTCCCCCTGCCCTGCCCTGAGACCCCAAGCCCTCTTGTCCCCCACCAAGACCTGCGCTGGTCATCACTGTCAGCAGGGGAAATGGTCAGGCACTCATCCATGTGTCCGTGAAAGAGGCGGAGGACATGGCCTCCCGTCACAAAGCCTGGAGAAGAGCAAGGAAGATGATCACTGTGGGGCTGGAGCCCCAGACAAGTCTGGGAGCCAAAGGGGAGTCCAGGAACCTACTTCTCCCCTAGGGAAGGCTGGGGGCTAGGTTGGGGGTCTAAAATTAAAGATCTGAGTTTCAGAGTGTGAAGTGTAGTCTGAGATTTAGGCTAAGTTTGAGGCCTTAAGTGGGGGCATTAAGATTTGGGGTCTGAGGTTGGGGATCAAAGTTTGGGGGTCTGGGTGTGCAGAGCTGAGGTTGAGGGATTTGAGGGTCTGAGTTTGGATATTTGAGGTCGGGGTTAGAGGTTTGGGGTCATATTCCCTGATATTAGGGTCTGCATTTCAGGGCTTGACTTGGGGTTTGGGTTTAGAGGTATGGTGAGTTGGCTCTGAAGTTGGGATCTGAATTTTGAGTGTGATTTTGAAGGTCTGAGACTGGTAGCTGAGGTTTGGGGTCTGAGGTTTGGAAGTTTGAGCTTTGGGGTCTGAGTTTGGAGAGATCTGGGCTTTACAACTGGAAGTTGGTGGGTCTAAGATTCAGGCCTGCGTTTTGGGATCTGTCTTTTGATTCTCAGGTTGGGTCTGGCTTAGGGCTCTGAGGTTTGAGGTGTGAGAGTTGGAATCAATGTTTTGGGGCCATGCTTTGGGGTCTTAGCATGGGGGTCTGGATCTGAGAGATGATTCTGGAGATATGAGGTTGAAGGTGGAGGTCTGAGGTAGGTTGGCTGAGGTTTGGAGTCTGAATTCAAGGTTTTGGATTGGGGATCGGAGTTTTAATTTGGGGGTCTGAGGTCACTGTCTATGCTTGTCACCTGAGGCTTAGGGTTGAGAATAAGCTCCATATTGGATGTTCTAAGCTTGGATTCGAGTTTAGGGGCCTGGCCTCCAGGACCTGAGTTTGGCATGTCAGCTTTGGGGACCAATACTTTGGGTCTGAGTTGGGGAGTCTGATCCTGAGATCTGGATTTGGGGCCAGTTGGAGATCTCAGTGTGAGGGTCATAGTTTGGGGTCTGAGCTAACAAGGTTCTGTTTGGGCATGTCTGGGAGCAGTATGGGAAGTCTATGTTGGGGGGTCTCAGTTTAGGGGCTGGAACTAGGGGAACCCTTACCCTCTTCACAGCCAGAGGAGATGGGGTTCATGTTCCACAATGTCTGCATGAAGGAGGCATCAACTTGGAGCTCCCCACTGGCCGTTGACAGGTGCTGAGGGCAACCAGGAGACGATGGTCAGAGAGTGGTGGGGGCAATAGTTCCAGAGGCAGAAGCCAAAAACCAGAGACAGGAGCCAGGAAACCGGCAGACAGAACATCAGAGGTCACAGGTCAGGAAACCAGGACAGAGTCAGGAGATAGGGTGTCAGAAACCAGGAATTGGGCATCAAATTCAGGAAACTGCAAATTGGGAGTCAGGACACTGGGGCCAGAGACCAGGCTAACCAGTGATAAGGAGACAGGGTGGACCCCATGTACCTCCAACCCAAGGGCAATAGCAGCCATGAGGGGGTGGGATTCTCACCAGATAGCGCTCAGAGGAGACACTAACGAGGATGAGGTCATCCCCAACTCGGACCTTCTCTCCTTCAGATCTCTGCTTGGAGGCAGGGTGCATTGTCCACCAACAGGCCTCTCCTGCGGAGGTAGGGCTCTCAGGACAATGGCTGCCCAGAATTCTCTCCCCAAGGCCTCCCCAGTCCTGAGCCCCCCAGCCTTCTGCCCCAAATTCTCCTACTTCTGCCACCCACTCTCTGCCTCAGATTCCCATTTCTGTCCTCAGACCCTCTGCCTATGGTTCACCCATGCTTTCTCAGTCTCCCCATCCAAATGTGTCCATTTGCACCCCAGACTCTGTCCCAAAGCCCCCATTGCTACCCCCAGAGCATTCCCGTGTCCACACCCATAGTTCTATAGACCTGTGCCCCAACTTCCCACCTGCCCTGTCCCTGTCACATCCTGCCCCCTCCAGCTCCTCCACCTGTTGCATCTTCCTGCAGTCCCACGTCAAAGGCCAGCTTGTCCGTCATGGAGCGGGAGGTAGTGAGACAGCTCAGGTACTAAGGTCAGAGAAGGGGGTCAGCCTCTTCCTGCAGGCACTGCCCCCCTGCCCCTGCCCTTGACCCCTTGCTGATGCACTTACCATGCTGCTGTGTGCATGCCGGAGCAGGATGGCATGGCCATACAGGAGTGTCCTGTGTCCCCCACCCTGGGATGACTGGGGGGGGATGAAGGGCACAGAGTGAGAACAGATGCCCAATACATCTGGCCTATCCCAGGTGGGAATGTGATCCCCATAAAATACCATGCTCAGGCCTGGATGCAAGGAAGCCTCAGTTCAGACCCTCAACAGATTCTCTGCCTCAGTTTCCCCACCCTTGGAAGCAGGGGCTCTGTCTCTGAGAAGTCTGTGGGTGGGGGGTGTTTTATATCCCCCAAAGCCCACTCTGTCCTTCCTGCCTCCTCCACCTTGTTTACTAGGCCCCAGGTCCCTCAGGGAGACTGGCCCTCTCCTCTAGGTACCGAAGACACTCCGAGAAGCCCCAGCATCTCATGTTCCATGGTCCTCAGCTCCTTTTACTCTAACCTGTCGCATCACGGCTGAGCCGCAGCTGGTGTGCACTGGTACAGTCCTACCAGTTGTAAAGATTTGAACATCACTTGTGGAGACCTGCCCTGTGCTGCTACATACACCCAAGAACAGGGAGACTCTGCCCCTCCTAGGGGGTGACACCCGGCTACTCGATGGCAACAGGCCTTCCATCCCAGCTCTCACATGCCCATGCTCAGGGGGCCATGTGATGGGGCCACATGATCACATGGCGGACCCACTCCTGGAACGGAGGGGACCCATACTTGGGATAAGGGAGGTGAGGGGAGAGGTCCCATGCAGAGAAGAGCTGGGATCAGGGTCAGAAAAAGGGTGGGAAAGAGGAGGAAGTAACAGGCAGTGGGGACGGGGGCTCACAAGCCCCCATCCCCTCCCCTCCTTCCTTCCTTCTTTCCTCCCTTCCTTCCTTCCTTCCTGGCCTGTTCTGGGCTTCACAGCCCTGACAACTGGGTTGAGGGAGACCCCCCAGCCTCATATGCAGGATGTGAGCCCAAGAGGCAGGCCTGGGGTCAGAAGAGGTGGGAAGGACAGGTGACACCCAAGGCCAGACCTACCCACTTATCCAAATTGAGGGCCTGTGGGGGCAGGGCAGAGAGAGGAAGAGCAGATGGTGAATGATGCCCGGTCCTCCCACCCATCCAGCCACCCTCAGCCTGGGGTGGGAGCCTCACCTCCACTCCAGCTTCCACAGTGTTGGCCAGCATCTCCTGCAGGGCTCGGACGGATAGTGACTGCTCCAGGACAAAGCAACAGATGGCCAGATCGGGGGGCACATTCTAGAGGGGGGGTGAGATGTGAGCAGAGGGCCTATAGGCCCAAAGACCTGCCCCCCCTCTAGATACTCACACCCCTTGGAGACCCAGACTCGACCCCAAACCCCCAGAAGTCCTGCCCTCTGCCACCAGCTTCAGACATCCTGAATCCTCACCAATGACACAGAACAAACTGCGTGCTCCCACAAACTTGACCCCACCTGAACCTCTCAGAAGCTTCCACACCACTCTCCTCTCAGGCACCACACTCCCCACCTAACCTCAAAGGATGCCTCAGCCCGTGCCCCCACCCTCAGACACACTGCACCCGCCCAACTCCAGGAGGCTCCTCCGATTCCCCTGCAGGTAACTCGGATCTCTCCACTGCAGAGGGAGCCCCACTCCCGCCGGCACAGTGCAGCCCAGTCCCTGCCTCCTGCCCTGGACACTGTGAGCACTGCTTCAGAATCACAGGAGGGCACCCTTAGCCACCCTCCTCAGTCTCCCACCTGTCACCTCAGACTCCTAGACAGCCTCCCCCTTTGGGCCCAAGGCTCTCTGTCCCTTGCAGACCCTGGCCCTTTCCCCCATTAGATGCCACACCCCCTCCCTTTCCCAGCTGTCCCCGCATTCCTCAGGTGACCTCCTCTCTCAAACCCTGAGTCCACCTCACCCTGAGACCCCAGGCTCCCTCTACCTCTCAGCCTCCCCGCCACACACACACTCAGTTCCCTGCTAGCATCCTCCTGACCCCTCCAGACCCTGTCACCTCGGATCCAAGGCCTTCTGTCATCTCAGACACCTGCCTCCTAAGACCCCAGCCCCTCCCTCCTCAGAGGTCCAGCCCCTTTTTCCTCTTAGGCCCCTCCCATTTTCTCTCCTACCAGCACCTTCTCTTCCGACTCCCAGACCACTTTTCTTTGGACCCCAGATTCTTTAGACCTCTCTTCCCTGGCCCCGCTCCCCCTCCCCTGCTAACCTGGGCATTGCTGGTGGGCTCCAGGAAGCAGAGGCGGTTGCCAAAGCCTTCGGCTGCCAGGCAGAGCTTGAGCTGCTCCTTGAGCACCGTGGCACTGCACTGTAGGACTACTTCATCATCCTGGGGCCAGGACAGAGGAGTCAGGACTCCCTGGCATCCACCCTCACCCCACAGACGCCACATACCATGCCACTCATCCCACCCTGTCCCCATGAAAGGGATACCCACCCTTGCAATTTATCAAGTAGGTGCCTGGCTGAACACTCCACATGCTTCTAATGCCCCCATGAAATAGGAGCCAGTGTCACCCCCATTTTAAAATGGGGAAACAGGCTCAAAGAGGGGACATGGCTGTCCAAGGCCACACCACTAATAAGAGGGGGAGCTGGGATTTGAACCCCAGTCTAGCTGGTTCCAGAGGCCTCCCAGTGGGGTCCTCAAGGTGAGCCATTGGAGGGTGGAAAGCATGGACCCCTCAAGTTCAATGGCTTTTAAGCCCAGCCTTCTCTACACAGAATCGTTGCCCTGGCCAGGCAGCTCAGTTGGTTGGAGTGCCATCCTGTACACCAAGAGGTGGTGGGTTGGACTCCCAATCAGGGCACATACCCAGGTTGTGGGTTCTATCCCCAGTTTGGGTGCCTGAGGGAGGCAACCGATCAATGTTGCTCTCGCACATCAGTGTTTCTCTCTCTTCCTTCCTCTCTAAAAAAAATATTTTAAAAAAAAGGAAAAAAAAAAGACAGTGCTGCAGCAACTGGTCAAAGTTAAATGAGGACTGTGAATTAGATAACGGTACCATCACAATACCAATTTTCCTGATTTTGATAACTGTACTGTGATTTGTTAAGAGATGGCCTTTGATATTTAGGAGATACTAAAGTATTTAGGGGTTAAGGGTATCATCTTCACAACTTGCCCTAAAACAGTTTGGGGAAAATAGATGGAGGGAGAGAGGAA